TCATTTTAAAATAAACCTATTAACAATTTCTTTATTTCTTTCAACTATTTGTTATTTATTAATCCTGTTTATCTTTGTGAAGTGTAAAGGATCATTTCTACAGATTATCATTATCCCATTATCCCCATCATGGTTATTACCCTGTGTGCTGTGCCACTGCACATAAACTATTTGTTTTATTTTACATTCTGGAGATTCCAAATAGTTTATGAAGCTCTGGCAAGGATGTATAACTGATCTTCACTGTTTTCCATGAGAAACTGATGGAAAAATTCAAACCCAAACAAACCCAAACATCAAGCCTCTGCTGCTCACTAAATGGGAAATGTCTACAGATCATTTATTGCCAAAGTCAGTTGAAGAGAGATGAGAATAGAAGACACTTTACTATTCCTATCTGTAACCCTGGTTATATAGAGAATTCTTCTATGATAACAAGCCAAGCCATTGCATATAATTGGTTGTTTTAAGGATGTTAACTATTTTAATATTTTAATTCTTAAGTCTTTACATATATATTTCTCTTTTTTTCTCTTTGCTAATGACTGTCCAAGCATAGGATGGTCATTAATTACTTTGTACAGAAAACATGCAAAACAATTGTTCTTGGAACATATTAAGAATTAAGAGAGCACAATATCATTGGATGATTAACAATTTAAGAGCTACAGGAGACAGATTGCCAAACCCAGACAAGAACTGAATACAACATCCTACAGCAGCTCTGTGAGAAGATGAACCAAGAAAGGGCAAATGACCTGGCAATGATGAAGGGCACCTTGAGATGGTTAACCATTATTGCCATTAAAGTCAGTCAACTTCAACCTAAACAAAAGGGAATTCTATTATGTGCTCAGCCCCAGGTAGAGCTGGACACTGAACTATCTCTTATCTACATGTCATTGTGGCAAGATATTTGATGTTGATCATGCAATGTTGTGTATGAAAGCAGATTTATCCATAGGAAGCATGATAAGATGTAAGACTTGTTTGCATCCCTTCTCAGGAATGTAGGTCAAGTCACACCTTCAGACCTTGACTGGCAAAGTTTTAATCAGCAGTGCCAAACTCCTCTGATGAAGCTCATTTGGATGTCCATGTGTGAGGTTTATTACAAGGAGGGCATCATGCATTTTTTGATGTAAGGGTTTTAACCCTTTCACAAACAGCCACCCATACCAGAAACTTGACATGGAATTCTCAAATGAGAATGAGAAAAAGCAAAACCACAACCAACAAGTCTTTGAAGTCAAGCAATTTGCTCCATCAGCCCTCTTTTGTTCTTACCATATGGCAGAAATGGCAGAGAAGCCAAGCAATTTTTGTGTGAACTAGTCTTGAAGCTATGCGAGAAGGAGATGAACTATGGCATTGCTATTCATTGGCTGAGAGCAAGACTATCCTTTGACCTGTTAAGATCAGCAGTGTTATGAGTAAGAGGCTCCAGAACATTAAAACATGAGTTCAACCCTGATTTTAGCAGGGCACACTGTAAATGTGATTAGAAAGATAAAGTAGACAGATGTTATTTTAAATTTTTTTTTCTTAAAGCACTGTGTAGAATGTTTTTTAACTCTAAAAGGCTCTGTATATCTTTTCAAAATAGATTTTATAAATGAGTTTATGATAAATTTTATCATGCCTTGTATATTTTGATCTTTTACCACATGATGGTTTCATAATAGAATCCACTTGTTATTTTTATTGTCCCTGGAGACCTGACCTGATGCTCACCACAGATACCTCTGTTAGAAGTTGAGGCGCAGTCTATAGTGATCAGAAAACTGGTTGCTTTTGGAATTTGGATTGACACATTTTCCATACCAACTACCCAGAACTTGCCAGGCTTGAGATCCCAACTCAGTCATGTTTAAAACACGCATAAGGATCCAGTCTCACATCTTAACTTTAGTAACATATATTAATAACATGGCAGGCATTAAATCTGCACAATGAAATGCTGTGGCCACAAAAATCTGGTTATGGTGTATAGAGATATACATCTGGCTCATTGCTTGTCCTTAATGTGGATGTTGTGGAATCTGGTGACTAGTAGTTTAGACCACAATCCTATTAACCTGTTGTGTGCGTGCGGCACATGCGCAGAGACAGTTAAAAAATGTGCTCGACTGCACAAGAGAACTGCCATGTTGGAACTTGGACTCATTATGTACTCGTTGTGTTTTACTAAGCGTGGCCATCCCGTTTTGTTCTGTCACTGTTAGAAGTTTGTGATTAAGTATTCGTCGATTAAAGTCAATTAATTCAGTCTTGTGGTTTACACAGATGTTGACAGGGACTCTAGACAAATTAACAACTTCACTGAAGGGTTTTTAAACTGAAAAGTTTTTGCAGACTAAGAAAAATTATAGGGTCCATTTCAAAGATTATATCTACATCCAAACTTAAGTTATTTTAAAATTTCCAGGTATGTGTCATGCAAACCAGATCCAGGTGCAAAATATGTTAATTCCTTTTTCAGTTAGATGGAAAGAATATTAGTTCTATGCTTTTCCCCTTTCTATGTGAGATCATTGTACCCGCAAAAAAAATGGAATACCAACTGGTATACTTCTCATGCCTGTTTGACAAACACAACTCCAATTCATCCCCTTTCTCCACCTGTTTGCAAAAAACCCAGTTCTTCTTTCTCAGTTGAACCATTTAATAACACAATCACACTTCTATGTGTTGCATCCTCTTCCAAAACAGTTGATTGATGGCTTGCAAGCAATCAGGGAAAGCCAGCAGCAGAGATACCTTTCATACAAAGCTATGGCCATCATCCTCAAGTCCTGGATCCAGTTATTCTAAGTGTGGATAACGCTATTCAATGGATAAATTGCTTTCCAGCAGATGAGAGGAAATATACTGCCCCTATCGACTGGAGAGAGTGTATCCAGTGGATAGCATTATCTACCCTTCAGAAAACTAGGGCCTAGTCTAATGGAATGCAAAAAAAATAAAAGCAAATTGACGTTTGTCATAAATGGAAAGCTAATCTCTATGACCCACCTGTGACAGCTGCTTTAGATTTCCTTGCCGGCCATTCATAACAAGGAATTTCTTTCTTTCCATCAACAGTGCCAGGAGTGCCATTTCAGCAGTTACAGTACCATAAGTATACCATTGCCATTTGCAGTCACCAATTGGTCTCCAGGTTTATGAAAGGTATCTACAAACACTCCCCCCCAACTGCTCATAACCTGTCCACTTGGGATGTACAGCCCGTCATGGCTCATCTATCCTCACTCATGCCAACAGAGAAACTTGTCTTAAAATCACTCAACTTGAAGTTTATGTTTCTAGCTTCAGTTACTGCACAAAGGGGGCAAAGTTTACATATTCCTGAAATCAGTCATAGGAAGGAGTTGCCCAGTGGATTTGAATATCTGTTTGTGGGGCATATCGACAGAGACTTTAAACTACACCAAGGGATCACATGCCCACCCTTGCTTTTAGGGCAGACAAAGTTTGATCATTCCCACCCTTGTACACTTAGTTATTGTCTGAGGTCAAGCAGGCATATTCCATTGCTGATCCCATCAACATTCACATTCAATTGTAAATACTGATGTTGCAGAAGTGCTCAGGTTCCCAAGTACATGTGATCACTTTGTGCAGTTTGCTGACTCTTAGGAATTCCATCAAAGTTCAACTTGCAAGTAAGTTGTCTTTAATTTATGAATTCTACATACCTACTTCCCATTGAATTCTTTGGAATGATCTTTAGGGATCAAAGAATATTGCCAGACCCTGCCAAGATAGAAGCCATCCAGATCCCCAACCTGTGCGAGTGATGTTTCTAATCTGCTTTG